TGTTCTGGCAGGCATAATTTAACCACTCTGATTTAATTCAAGTGTCTGCTTAGAGGAAAGAACCCACAGAGATGATTCACAGGGGAGTGACTCGAGTCCTATTACAAATATCCCCAAATCCACACACCTCAAAACCCCAAGAGAATGGTGAATCGATATAAAAGAAAGGGTCTAAATACATTTTCCAAAGTCTTCCCACATCCAAGGCTTCAGAGACTTTTAGTATTTGAAGTATTACTGAAAGAGTTCCATACAATTCCCTGTGCACAGATCTAAAAATAGCTACGGACACAGTAGTAAGTTTTTGTCTGTATTTGCAAGCCCCTTACTTCCCTCTCAGGAACCACTACCTCCCATTAATGCTGACATTTTTCTTTTAAAAAGGAGCTATTAAAACATTAGAAAATCTTTCAATAGTACAGTGAACATCAATAATAATACATCAATAAATTGATACTGTAGTGATGGACCATGAATATATTCTGTATATTAAGAATAACCGCATTAAAACAGATGCCTTTTGCAGCCTCCTTGGATGGCCATGCTGTTTTCTGTATCAAGAAGGGCAGGTATCTGCAAACACAAGTGAGAAGCTAGCCTGGCTGCATGTGAATAACTCAGCACAATTACCTTAACTGCAAGTAGGCTTTGGAGTTCAAAGTAAATAGCCCCATTGATCCTGAAGAGATGAGTACACGACTTGCACAACAGGAGAAGTTCAGGAGCTCTTGAAATACATAGTTACAGGTTAGAAAGACTTGGTATTTTGAAGGGAAGCAGTAAGAACCATTCAAATAAACATACTGCTTTGACTAAGAGTAATTAGGATGGAGATTTAAAAACAAAACCCAACACCATTGTGCATGTTTGAAAAAACAATGTCAAATTTGCTTTAAGAACTAATGAAGCTAGATGATGGCCTTTGCAGATCTGCTCGTTGTTCACTTAAGCGCTGTAACAGTGCTAGCACACAATACCTATCTGTCCTGACTGTGACAGTAGCATTTTCTTGCCTGACAAGCCCTATTTGTCCCATTTTTACCCACAATGAATGACATGAAGCATGCCAAGTTGCAAGAAGTCAAAGAAGTACCTAACCTCACTTCCAATTTTGTTTGTTCTGGACACATTAAAACAAAAGTGAACAGCTTCTCACATTCTCCCACTAGAGACCTGGGAGGAAGAAAAGCCAACGAACCAAACAGAAAGCACCTGACCAAAGCAATTCCTACCTTGGCCTCAGTCTCCGCGGTTTATGACATAAAAGGGAACACCATTTACAGGTGCAGAAAAGCTTGCAGATCTTGCACCCGCACTCCCAAATATATCCAAATACTTGTCATTAGGCTCAAACTAAAGAAGCTTCCTTCCTTTCAGCTAATTGTAATTGAAACCCCAAGGTCCTTTCTCTGAGAATCCATTCAAAATAAAATTTGTCTCCATCTGCTGGCAATGAAGAATTCACATCCAGTTGCCCAAACTACCACAGCAACCTCAAAAGAACAAACGTTACAGGACACAGACGCGTGACAAATGTATTTCTTTCTAACATACAGGCAGAAAATGGAGTAGGATAATGAGGGCAAAGGAGAAGAGAGGAGAATCACATACTGATTACAAAGGAATTCCTATTCTAGTAGTCAAAAAACGAGGACAGAGACATGACAATGTAACCAAACATACAATGAAGCTTTTGTCCCCAAACTACTTGGCTTGCAGACAAGGAACAGAGGAACTTGGGTCGGTGGGGACAGGCTGGGGCAGGGGAAGAGTGAGAGGCTGATGTTTGTGAAAAGAAAGTGAAATTGGTTAGTCCGCTTTAAGAAAGATGGTGGAGGAAAAAAAAAAAAAAGGGCAAAAAAGCACCCCGCTATTGTAGAATCCACCCACTCACTTCTGAAAGCTCAAAGACCCAGACAGAGATTTACAGCCAGCACTTCTACGCACTGAATGTGAAGCGGAAACACTCAAATGCCCGGTCCCAAAGCAGCAGCTTTCAGATGGTGCATGGTTATGGTCAGAGCCATTTTCTTTCAACAAGTTTGCTACTGCTGAGTCAGTCACGAAGCTCAGCATTACAGACCATAGGAAGACACCTGTATGCTGCGATTTCCAGCTCTACTTAACCAAACAATGCGTTTTACTTTTTAATTTTAAACAAAGTCACACAACTTCCTGGAGAGAGTTCAAAAGCAGACCAGTATAATCCCACACTTAGAAGCCAAAATAATAACAAAAACAAAAAAAAAAGCTGGTGTTCAGTTGACTGTAAGACCAGAGTGAAGAAAATGCAAGTGTTAAGCAAAGCTATTGTTTCAAACATTGTTGAGAAGCATTCAGAAAGATCGTACTAATGTAAAGCTTCAAAATTTTGGTCATGATGTAAAACTATTACAAAAATAAATTCAGTTCAAACAAAGCACATTCCATTTAATAGCTCACTTATATAAGTGAGAAAGGGAGTGCTGACGTAGAGGTTTTCTTTAGCCCTAGTTAAAATCAGTTCAGAAAAGATTTATTTTCCTCAGTCTTCTATATCTGGCTTCTGTATATTTACATGATTCTATATCCAGCAAAGGTTTAAACCAAGTGAAGGTATGGGTTTATACACATCATATGCAATTAAAAGGCATCTCCTTAAACCACCTGTTTTCTTTAAAAAGTTATGCACATTTTACTTTTTTTTTTTTTTTTAAGGAATTGTACCGCTGCTAATCCCCATGTACTCAGGGAATCACTTCTGCTGAACCTAGAAGCGAGGCATGGAAACTTGAGTTATTAAGGTGGTGTTAACTCGTTCAGTGATCAATCCAGAAGTAGCATTTGTATCCTTGAGAACAACCGATTACATTTAGAAAAAACTTTTATGCAGTAAGAGCTTTTTATTTACAGTTGAGGTACTTTATAATCTCCTGGTGATGTAGCCTGCACAGTAAAATAATAGCACCCAGGATTTTCGAGGTGTCAGTGCCGCAGACGCACGCAGCAGGACTGAGTTACACAGAATCTCTGTAATACACCATATTGTTGCTCTATCGACGAGTAAACAGTTCTGGTGCCTGCAGCACTTCCAGTTGCTCCAGTAAACTAAATAGGTTCTATGAATGCCACCCAAGAAGATGCACAATAGATATACCACGATGTTGCACATGACAGCATATTAAATGATCACTTGCATGCCTGTATGCTTAGTTTTTGTGTTTTTTTTTTTTTTTTTTTTTTCTGTTTAATCCTCAAAGCCAGAGAATGCAGAGGTAGGCCTACTAGTCTTGGAATGCTATTTATTCAAACGGGACTTCTTTTTTCCAGTTTGATGCAATTTTATTGCTAACCAGTACAGGAACAAACATGCCACACGATCCCTATCTGAATCTCCTTGCAAAAAACCAAAACCCATGCTTGATCATAGCGCTTCCCAGAAAAAAACCCACACCAAAACCTTAACAGGCTGCTAATGCAATTATTACTTACTATACTGGAGCCTCTTAGTAGTTCCCTCATTCTAAATTCAAGTTCCCTGTGGCATGAACCATCTTTTTACTCCCCGTTTGAACAGTGCTTAGAACAGCAAAGCCTTAGTCTGTGTTTACAGATGCTAGGAATTCTGGAAGAATTAATCCATCTTCTCTCCCCCCCCACATCCTTCCCCTCATCCCCAGTGCTGTAACATGGAAATTGTTACATTTTTAGCCTAAGGAAATGAGGTTTATACAACCATCCTGTGACAGTTTTACCTAGCCATTTTATTTATTCTTTCACCATTTAGCAGTCTCAAGATACTTCAGAGGCAGATTTCAAAGATCTGCAACAACAAGACTCAAATAGGCATCTTATTAGCAGAGACAGGTGAGTACTTTAGGGCTGCAACATGAGTTTAACTACAGTATTAGACACTAGAGAACCCACGTACAGAAGGAGCATGAGGAAACAACACGAATTTCACTGCTGAATTTCTCTAGCTGTCCTTTACTACACCGAGTTTCTTCGTAAGAGTCTAAGCGAGACTACACAAACCTGTGTTTCTACCCTCTACTTAACTCCCCTAACTAAACACTGATAACATATCCAGGCAAGAAGAATTTCACCTTTAACTGTCTTTTTTTTTAAAAAAAAAAAAAAAAAGAAAAGCTGAATGTAGTTTGGGGAGAGAACACCCAAAACAAAGAATTCTACTGGCAGACTGAAGCAGAATTAATATGTTAAAATTATAAAGATACATTCATTAGAACAACTAGGAAATCATCCCATATAATTTTCCAAGAACTAGTAACCATGGTACTAGGTTGCATGGATCAGTACCCTGTTTCACTGAACGGGAAAGAAAAAGAGAGGGGAAAAAAGCGCATCTCCATCTTGTACATAGGAAGAAAAAGGAGTGGATTATGAACAGCTGTCAGAAACATATTCCATACCAGAAGTGCAGCTATTTTGGCACAAGAACATGAAAACCTAATAACAAGAAAGCAAGGAAGATAGCACATTTTTTATGCTCACTGTCATCTTTCAGTCGCTTATCCAAGTTTCACTTGCAGACGTCAGGATGAAAAGAAACAGTCAAAGAGCAGCAGCCGGAATGGGTGTTGCATTCACTTCAAAAGATCTGCATGCAGGAATAGTTTGCCAGTATCAATATAGTGCAAGCTGGCAGGACTGGAAAGTTACAAATTAAGTGTGCCTTCATCAGTGACCTACTATGAACAGACCTACTGAGCTGCTAAAATATTTTTAGTTCAACCAATTCCTGCCTTTTTTGGTTCCTCTTGCTCTTCCAGTTTATCCAGTCATGTGCGCTTTTCCACTCCCTCTTACCGCCATGTAGTTTTTCAAGTTTGGCTCCAATTACCACTTGTTTCTGCTGCTGAAGTGCTCAGATTTACAGCTTTACTACAAGTGGCTCATACGATGGCTAAACCCTGCACGTCACAAGCAATCCTTCAACTGAAGAGATACTTATATAGCAGGAACTTTCTTCCTCCCACCACGAAGACTGATGTACTCACCAGCTGATACTCGCTCCGACGGCTGAAGGCTTCCTTGATTCCCGAATCCCTCCACAGTGCACCCAGTGCAGGTACATACAGCTGGAAGGTGGCAGGCTCCACGGGCATTCCAGCTTTGTTTTCAAAAGCCATCAAAAACATTCCATGCTTCTCATTTTCGGTGTACTGCCAAGGGATCCCCAGTTTGTCCCGTGCATCAACCAGAACCCTGCAGCCCTAAAGAACAATTGAGATAAGAAGGTCAGTGATAGAAAGATTAATGTGTAAAAGAACAAGGACTCCAAGGTACTTGAAGCTTTTTTTTTTTTGACACTATTCTGGTGAGACTGAACTCAGGAGAGAATCATAAACATTGTTTATTGCAACATCTCCAACATAAATAAGATGGAAAGAGCTTGCTTGTGTAAGCGGCTTAGCCACAATATATTTCTTCAGGTGGAAAAAAAATACTGGCAGCAACAGCTAGTTACAACAAGCAATACTACCAACAGATAATAAAAGTAAACATCAAATATGTAAGAAAGTGGCTAGGAACCAACGTGTGATTCTCATAGCTATAGTTTTTAAAGTAACACCATGCCTGAAAACACATTCTTCCATCTTTTTCTTTGCATTTGGGTTTTAGATACTAAAAAGGACATATCAGCTTTCTCAAGCATTAGGAAATCAGAAGGGCATTAAAAAACACTGTTGAAAAAGCATACTGTACATTCTGGTGAAGCAAAGTATATTGAGCCCCCAAAATAGAAGGAACTTAGTAACTCCCAGAGCTGCATGCATCCACCAACTAGTTGAACATTTAGGTAAGACAGACAGCGATACCACACTAGCAAGATCCAAAAAGCGTGTTGCTGTAAAGCACGATTTTGACACTATCTACTTGGATGCTATATAACACACCTACCCAGCTTCACAGATTTCTTGAAAATTTGCTGTAAATGAGTATCTTCCATTGGGACACTTTCATCCAAACTGTTACCTCTCCAGTAGGAAAGCCCAGCAGCAAGCCGACTGAAGACATTGCACAGATTTCAAGCTACCAGGCTCAGTAAAGCAGGTGCAGTTTTCCATCAACATCAGCTTACTTTTTGAACTTGCCACACATTTGCTAGGAAGTCATGACAGGTAGGTTTTAGTACTCTACATCTGGAAGAAAAGTGATCTAGTTCTCAAATTTACTGAGACTGCTTAATTTCACATTTCGCAGTTTTTATGGAACTTAATTTCATATTTATGGCAAGAAGCCAAAACACATGCGGTTAAGTAACTTTGAAACTTCAGTCTTGAATCTAACTACACCCATACTAAAAAGCTTCAGATGGCCAATAGCTATTTCTCAATAGTAAGCACCATTTTAATAATGGATAGATCTGTTAATGATGGCTTAGCATCTCAAGTACCATCTAATTCACAAGTAAAATCTGTGGGTTATATTCAACTACTTTTCTCATTCTGTTGGTCTTTGGGTTTACAGTTTATGAAAAGAAATAAACAAAACTGAAATTATGTTTCCATAGCTATTCACATGAACCTCCACATTATTGGACTGCCTCCCCCCCCCCCCCTTTTGGGGATACTTTAAGCTATCAGGACCACACATATGTTTTTGTAGCACTTGAACCTTTTACCTCTCCAGTCCTTTAACAGCACCACACAAGAACAGTAACTTTCCCAATGGAAATTAAGATTGTAGAGGGAAGTGAGAAGCAACTTAGTGTGAGTGTCACAGAATAGAAACTCAAAGCAAAACATCATGGTTGTCACTATGCAAGTGTTCCTGAAGTGCAGTTTCCCAAAAATGCAAATATTTATGATTCTCCAGTGATTGTTACTTTCTTTTTATAAAGTAGAAAATATATCTCCACAATACCATGAAAAGACTAAAATTGAATATATTTACAAACTGCTGCTTTAAATTCCAGACATAACTATTTAGTAGCTGTCATACAGACCAAAGCCAACTCTCATTCCTAGTTACAGAGTTTATCCCTTTATTAACAGAAGCCTTTAGATCTGCTTTATTTGAACGGTGTTAACAAATGTAAGCATGAAGAGAAAAAAACCCAACCACTTATAAGGTTCTGTCTCTGAATTGCAAACGTCTAAGGTCGTGAGACATCGTGCAGGCCCTTTTGCAAACCCATCACTCGCACCCAACACTGTCCCGACTGCAACTCGAAGCCAGCGTCAGCTCCTCCCTACCCCCAGTTGAGAACTTCGAGATTAATTTTTTCCAAAGCATTGTGGTAACCAAGACTGTGGGACATGCTACTTTTAGGTATTTAATGCCAGGTTTGTTTCTGTTCAGTGAGAAGAAGTGTTTATGAACAGAAACAGTTAATCGGCGCTGTGTCTGCGATCACCATCTCCCCAGCCCAGGCCCTGCAGAGCTCCCAGCCCACACAGGCCAGCTCTGACCTTTCACCTGCTTCGGCTCCAGCTCTCCAACCATCTCCCCCAGCCGCTTAGCTCCCGCTTTTCCATCTTACAGCCTTCGAACTGATTTAACCCTTGCCCAGCTCACAACTACTGCCGCCGTCCCTTCAGAGGGTCAGCAAGGTGGCCCGATTCCTGTTTGTTCGGATAAAGCGGCACGGGGACCTCAGCTCGGTGCATTCCCCCACACTGTCGCTCTGCCTTTTCCTGCTCCCACTGGATATGGAGGGTCTCGAGAGACTGTTGTTAAGGAAAGTTTCAGCATTTGTTTGGAAAAAAAACATAGTACAGTTTCAACTGCAGGCGTAGAGACTGCTCCAGTCCCAGAATAGTCACTTATCTGCTGGCTGCAGCTCCTTGGAAATGCAGGTTTGAAACTCCCTGGGGCGAGAGAGGGAACTAAACTTAGACCTCACAGACCCTGTGCAAGTGCCTTGACTACTGTAAGGTCACCCATGGGGAGCGCGTAGCAGCAGCACCTTCCTCTGACAGAGAGAAATGGTTGCCACCAAATCACATACAGACCCAATCCAGGACAAAGTGGCAGATGCAGATGTAGAGACACCAGCACTGGCACTGACAAAACAGACGGATACAGGCACACATAGAAGGTAAATTTTAAACACTGAATGAAGAACGTGGAAAATAGGAAATGGGTTAGCAGGAAT